GCCTTTTACAATGTTGTGACTGGACGGATAGAGGCAGGGAGACCAGTGGATGTAGTCTACCTTGACCTTAGCAAGGCTTTTGACACTGTCTCCCATAACATCCTCATGGGCAAGCTCAGGAAGTGTGGGATAAAAGAATGGACAGTGAGGTGGATTAAGAACTGGCTACAAAATAGAGCTCAAAGAGTGGTGATCAATGGTGCATAGTCCAACTGGAGACCTGTAACCAGTGGACTCCCACAGAGATCAGTGCTGGGTCCAGTCCTGTTCAACATCTTTATCAACGACCTTAATGACAGGACAAAGTGTCTTCTCAGCAAGTTTGCTGATGACATGAAGCTGGAAGGATTGGCTGATCCACCTGAAGGCTGTGCGGCCATTCTGCAAGATTTGGACAGGCTGGAGGGCTGGGCAAAGAGGAACCTAATGGGATTAAACAAGAGCAAGTGCAGAGGCCTGCACCTGGGAAGGAACAAGAAAATGTACCAGTACAGGTTAGGAGGTGAGCTGCTAGACAGCAGCTCTGTGGAAAAGGACCTTGGAGTCCTGGCAGACAACAAGTTATCGAAGGGACAACAATGTGCTGCTGTTGCTAGGAAGGCAAATGATATCTTGGGGTATATTAAGAGAAGTGTCTCCAGCAGATCAAGGGAGGTCTCTCCACCCCCTCTACTCGGCCCTGGTGAGACCTCACTTGGAGTATTATGTCCAGTTCTGGGCTCTCCAGTTCAAGAGCGACAGGGACCTACTGGAGAGAGTCCAATGGAGGACTACAAGGATGATTAAGGGATGATTAAGGGACTGGAACATCTGCCTTACGAGGAAAGGCTAAGATATCTGGGGCTTTTCAGTCTAGACAGAAGAAGACTGACGGGGAATCTAATTAGTATCTATAAATACAACAGGGCTGGGTGTCAAGAACGCAGGGACAACCTCTTTTCTCTTGTGCCCTGTGATGGGATGAGGGGCAGTGGATTTAAACTAGAGCACAGAAGTTCCACCTCAACAAGAGAAAGAACTTTACTGTGAGGGTTATTGAGCACTGGAATAGGTCCCCAGAGAGCTTGTGGATTCTCCTTCTCTGAAGACTTTCAAGACCTTTCAAGGCCTTTCTGAGTGATTTGCCCTACTTTTTGTTCCTGCTCTTTGGAGGTCCCTTCCAACCCCTAACATCCTGTGATTCTGTGACATCTATCTAATTTTATTTGAAAATGTGTTTAGAGTATTCATCTGAACTGTACTCTTTACCATTTTGTGATTTAAATGCAGTAACAGTTTTCAAGCTATTGAAAACATCATCATCACTTTAAACATCTCCGGCCACATTCTGACTCCCCTTACATGCAGTCAGAAACTGACTGCAAAATTAGAAGTTTTTCATACTCCCACTCACACAGTTGACAGCAACAAGTTCAAGGAATGGAGAATAAGGACTACAATATACTCAATACATTTTAAAGCACAAATAGTTTGTGGAAAAGCTATACTAAGACAAGCAGAGGCTGAACTGAAGGCTAAAATCTAGCTACAAAAACACTGTATGGACTGCTTCCTGGAGGGAAACCTGATCTATTTAACTCAAACGGACCATTTACATCATAGTGGATCAATAGGAAAAACAAGCTTTAAACAATACGAGCCATTACTTCACGTTTTGCAGCTGCATAGCTTAGTGAGGTCTTCTGGCATTTCAATGGTCTTTACACATTGCTTCAGGATACATACACATTTGCTCCAAATGCTGCACTCACTAAACTCAATGTCCTGCAGTAACATAGCAGAGGAGCAAGGTCAGGTTCAAAATGAGATAGTGGAACGACATGCACTGAAATCCCAAAGGGGAAATACATTTTGAGGTAAACATGTATAATTTAGTTGGGACTTATATTTTTAAAAATAAGTAATTAAAGGTAGTCTAAGGAAAGGACATGGCTTAATAAAAACATGATGTTTTAAGAATGTGCAGGTAACCGTAACACCTACTTCCGTATGGTGACTGTCTAACACCTTTAGGAGGATCAAAGACATTTTTTAATTATACCCCCATTTTTACCATGAGATACTGAAATTCTCTCAGTCATCCTTAATTAAACATGGCTTTGGGTAATTTTCCTTTGCTGATGTATGAATAGACTTCAGGAGCTCAATGTCATTGTAAAACATTCAGCTGAATTTCTACTATGACAAAATCTATGAGAAAGCTGGCTCTTGTTAGTATCAGCATAACCCTGCAAAATCCTTTAAATGTTTGAGCCAGACGTGCTAATACAGCATTTTCTCTAACACATCAAAACAACCATTGCTTTTTCCACCCTTAGGATGCAGAATGGCAAACTGGAGAAAGAAGATGCCATCCTAACAGGAGATAGTTAGGAGAAAGAAAGATGTTAAAAAAAAGAAAAACAAAATAATTTAAGTGTAAGAATTTTATTTCATGCACAAACAGTTAACTACTGAACTTGTTACTGCCAAACATGCTGAATTGCCTAGACGTATTTGACACAAAAAGTTTAGGCTTTGCAACACCATCTATCAGAAATGCAAAATGTTTTAAAGGTATTTCACATTTTTTTCCCCACAACGAAAAGTTACTATTAAGACCATAACACAGATGGTGCAGTACAAGAGAGAGCTGGATGGTATTGTACAGTGGCTTACAGAACTAGAGTAATATACTAAACAGAGAATATTTTGAATTGATGTAAGTACAAATTCCACATAGATGTTTTCCTACATGCCATTTTCAACAGGACAAACAGTGCAAGAGAGAAATAATGCATCCCATGGCACACAGATAGATGCCATAGCTCTGCCTTGGAAGTCTTCCTCTCTCTCTCCCTCTCATGCACAGAGACGCACACAGAAACCCCAAAAAAATCACCACACAGCAGTTCATTCATGAGGCAGTTGTGAAGCTGAATAGCACAATCTGACTGCACTGTTGTAAATATTACTGTATGTGTTGACATGTATATAATCTGCTACGTATACTATAATTGCAACAATAACAGACATCAAGTTTTGCACTTGAAGAAAAAGAAGAAAAACCATCAAATACTGCAATAATAGAGCAGGTGGCAAGGGAAAATTTACTATTTAAGTAATATAATCCGAAATGAACATAACATTGAAAATGTCAGAAGACTTCAGGCTTGTCTTTAATGAGATTAGTCTTTCATTACAAGTGCTATTTTGTATTGCTTCAAGGCTTGCATCTTGCCTTTTGCAGATGGTAATAATAATTTATCTTGGTTAAGAATATGAAGAATCTTAGTTAGGATTTTGACACTACTAGCACCAAGTTTTATTGTATAAATATATGCCAAATGCAACACAGTATGCAAGACAATCTTTGTTATTAAAATCCTATTAATTACAACTCATGTGGATTACAGTGTTATTCCTCTCCATGTAATAATTTGCTGTTTCTCAGGTGGAAAGAAAAGAGTTGAGAATTTCAGTTTCATTATGCTACCTAAATATTTAACATGCAAAATTTAGTCTAAATTTGTTTGAAATCAAGTTACAAAAGTTGACACTTATGTTGATTTTATACTTACTGTATAAAATCCCAAATCATAGAGTAAAAAAAAACACTTAACATTCTTGGCTTACTTGGTTCTGCTCCTAAAAACACATACATGTGAGATCAGTCTCATAAATATTAAGAAAGTCTTCATGCTCAATGTTGTTCTTGTGCAAAAATGTCTCAACTTCTGGCTGAGAGGTAGAATACACTGTTACTTTTCCTTTACAGGTGTATCAGTTGACATTTGTTGTGGAGGAAATCACCCTGCTTTTGACTTACATGCTGAGGAACAACACAGTACACAAAACACTTCTACAGAAACCTGCATTGGCTGCAGGTTTATCTTCAATTACTCAACCCTCCTACCCGAAAAAAAAAAAAAAAAAAAAGCTTTTAACACATAAAGTTATAATGGAAGCAATTTGGTAAGAAATTATTAAGAAATACTTCAGTAATCAGTGAACACACTGACCTGAAAAGTACCTTGGGCAAAAACTTTTCTGGACAATAATGTGATGCATGTTTACATTAGTATTCAGAATCAACTGAAGTCACAAAAATCTGAAAACAATCAAACAGATTCCAGTCCTAATTGACTAATAAATATGAAGGTGTTAATATCAAAATAGACTAACCTTTAGTCCTTCCACTTCACTTTCCAACTGTTTAGAGTATTGTTCACTTCTCTCTCGTAATTTCCTATCTTTGGATGCCTCAGCAGCTGCGGCCTCAGCTTGGACTTCCAGCTACAAAAGTGAATACGTTTTTAATGGGTAGAATTCTCAGATCTTTTTTTCAAAATCTTTTGACAACTTTCAAAATAAAAGATACATCTTCAGCACTTAACTGGATGCTTCAGATTTTTAGAAAACAAAATAGTTAGTTTGAAACAATTGAAGAGTTAAAAATTTATAGATAACATGAAAGAATTACTTCGTCAAAACACCTTCTACAAAACTGCTGTTTCATAGATTATAAACAATCTTCTCACCACTTACTTCTTTTTTAAGTCTCTCTGTTCTGCGTAACTCTTGCCTTAAACTTTCTGCTTTTTGCATCACCACTTCCATTTCTTCCTCCTTATCTCGGAGCTGGCGGGCAAGCTTTTGTTTTTGAGAGTGCAAGTCTGTCAGCCGCTCATTCATCTCTGAGAACTCCTGCATTGCCAATTTCCGCTGGCTGTGTGCATCTTTCAGCTCTTTGGCTTGGGATTTTAACCTGTCACTAGACTCTGCCAGTTCCTACAGTTTAAAAAAAGAATTAGGTAATAAACCTAGAAAGCTGCAAGGCCAACTTTTGTCTTTAGGTGTGCATCTAACGACTTATCCAGAGTGAATGAAAACTACATATTAATTTCTTTTCATGAAAGCTTCTACAATACAGATTGTATGGCTCTGTAAATAAAAGAGGCCAGTTTTACACTAGCAAAATTAGTAAAACTGCATAAATGTAAAGCAAGTTATTATATATAAAATATACATTATACATTATTATATAATTATATAATTATAATATTATAATATATAATATAATAAGTATAATATATTATTATATATTATTATATATTGTTATTTAGGGTAAACACAAAGGCTTTCAAGCATTTGCATTAAACTATAAAAATACTTTGCTTTCTTAATTAAAGAATGTCAGCAGCATAGTTTTTCAAGGACTACTTAAATTAATAAAAATAATAGTACTTAGCTGCTCAATGATTCAAATAAGTTTTTACATTGATTGAATGGAAGACGCTGCTCTATTAAAACTTCTACTTTAGAAACTTTTGGAAGCTGACATGCAATGGCAAGTATGATTTCCCCACACTATACAATAAAATAAATTACTACAGAACGCCTTAGGCAATAAACACTGCAGTGATTAACAGCAATAGATTATAATCATTCATTTAAAAGAAACCTCTTGAAACAACACTGCTAGTGCTGTGGTAACTCTACAGCACAATACCTTCACAAAGTTTGCTGTGTCCTAGATCTGTGCTACTACGCTACAAATGGTGGACCACAACAGTTTAAATGGTTTAATGATGTTCAGCCAAACAAGAGCAGAAGAGGACAAGGAAAAGCGAGACTGAGGATGAAAAGAAGAGCAGCAGGAAAAATTAATATTTGGCACTGTTGACATCTACACAAATTTAAAAGCATTTTCTAAGGTGATTAAAAAAGGGGTCCTAATCACTACAAGTTGTTTTAGAAGAGAGAAGGTCTTTCTTGGACAAACTGGCAGCTTTCAAGGTTTTAAGAACCTTAAGGGTGAGAAGAAACAGTGTTAAATACAGCAGTCACAACAACATTGCATGTGGACTCTAAAACACTGGGCCAATATAATAATGATGAGAAACAGGCTAGTGTATTTGACACCTGATTACCAGGTGACTTACCCATGAATACAAAAAAGAGCCACAGAAGACAGTATGTTACAAATAAAATAACAAGAAATCAGGGGAATAAAGAAGATGAAAGAAAACCCAGTATTCTTTATCAGTAGCTATTTCAAATTACTTCTAAATCGTCATATTTGGGCATTTTTTTACATATCTCTTCTGGAAACACTTCTGTGACACAGCCTTAATACCATATTTTTGACATTTTTCACCTCCTACAGTATCATCCATTTTTCAGATTAAATTAGTTCTCTGGTATAGCTCTTTTCTACTCAGTCTTCTAACCACTACCATGATCGCCTCAGTCTGAAGCTATAAAACATTTGCAATTTGGATCATGGAGTTGTTCACTATTTGGAAAGCAGTCACCTAGAACCACCCAGCAGCCACATATACATGGAATAAATAATGCCCTTGTCTTAAAAAAAGAAGCAGAAAGCAAAGTAGGTCATGCTACACATTTGTTGTCTGCTCATTGATTCTACACTTGAAAGTTATTTCAAGCAAAATGAACAAAAATAACATAGTATTTGGGGCTTAGAAGAGTTACGGACAGCATGCTTTTTTACCTTATTAAGATCTTCCCTCTCTTGCTTCAGCATTCTGACCTGTTTCTCAAAAGCCTTTATTTGTCTGGAAGCATCATCCAATTCTCGCCTTGCAGTGCTGACCTCCTCAAGTTGCTGTTCTAGCTGACCAGAATCTAGAAAATGTGGCAGATTTTTAAATATATTACAGAAAAAAAAAATATTCTAGCATAGCAAAGTCTAGCTGCTTGAAGTCCCTTTCAGTATCTGTTCTGGTTTCCATTTAATCACAAAACAATGAAATTCTTATTTGGTTTAGAATAGAGAGTAGGGAATGTTTCAAATGCCACTGCCTGCTTTTAACAAAACAGAATAAAAGGTCACAGCTTCCTAAAAAACAACATAGGAAACTATAGCAACGTATTTTTTTACATTATAATAATACGCACTATATATAATACTGTAAAGTATGCATTAACAAGATCTCTACATTTCACTTTTATGCACAGTGATGTAATATATCATGTATCTTTTATTGCACTGTAATTATAAACAGTCTCCCTTCTCTGCCAAATTCATCAAGAAAGAAACAATAACAGGTCACTCTAGAGCTGGCAAGTGTTCTCTTGTTGATACACTTAAAATTAACTTCAGATTATTTTAGTAATTTCTACTGTGGAAACCACTTGTGTTTATGTGATCTGCTTTATTACTACTATAAATATAGGAAAACTTTTACAGCCAGTTTCTTACCAACTGTCAGTTACTAAATGACAGTACATTTCTACACCGCAGCTAAATATCATACAAATATGCTCAAATGCTACAACAAAAACTGAAAGCCATAAAAGATGACAAGTGAAAATTTCTGGCTAGAGGGTGTTTGTTTCCCCTCCTAGTCTTTCACTTAAAAGCAAGAATTTACATGAATGTATATATGAAGGTAAGTTAATTCCAAGTGCTATGAAATCATTGGACAATTTGACTTTATTTCAGTTGTGGCATGTCTTCAGACCACATGTATTTACCCACAGAACAGGAACCCATCTATACTCTTAGTAAGAGCCTTTTACTACAGTTTCATAAATGCAACCCTAAGATACTAGCTCTTGGATAAATAAAATATAAACCCACATATATTTCTAAGAGCTGTAATTTCTGAAACACAATAATTTTATAAGCAAATTAATATCATTAACTTATACAAACACAAATATTCACTATTGTTTTAAGTTTAAAAATTTGTTTAAAGATTTAGAAGAATGCATTTAAATAAGAAATGTAGCTCAAAGCTAGAAATTACTAACTGTTCTCTTATGAAGTCTACTCTGAAGTTACCAGCAAAAAAAAAGTTTATATATTGCTCTTCTGAGCCAAGACAAATCTCCTTTCCATGCATGAAGTACTTTGTATCATGGCTCTGTTTCTTCTTCCATCTCTGCCCTTTACATATTTGGCAATATGAAAAATTCCTCAAAACTTAATCATATGTAACTTAGGAAACACAAATTATAACTTTGACCTAAAAAATTGAAAGTGTATGCTAGCTTGTTAATTCCTGGAAAACTACACAGACAAGATAAATGTATTTTTCTCAATTTAACACAATTTCATGTTAATTTTTATTACCTTTTTAAGCAGGTGTTTACTCTTACAGCTCCAGAACAGGCAGTAAAGCAGGTTAAAGAATATAACCGAAGGCTAGTTGTGACATATGTGCAGTGAATGGTAATGAGCCTAACTGTTGCTAAGAATTTAGCAAATATATGAAAAACACTCACTATAAGATGTTATTGCAGTATATTTAATTGCCCAAGAAATGAGCCTAAAGCTTGAAGCTCAGGTCTGCACCTGAACTGAACCTTCTTACAGTTCATCACATCTAGATTAGGATATACACATATTTTAAAGGCCATCAGGAAAACTTAGAACTACCTCCCCTAAATGTGGAAGCATTCAGATGCGACCATCACTCGGTTTATGTCTGCATTCTGTTCTTAATTTAGTTCTAAAATCACACTAAAAACCTCCATAAAATCAAGAAAAATACAACATTCTTTTTTCCCAGTTTTATCAAATTAGCTTGTATCAGTAACAACTCAAGTGCATTTTAACTAATTGCTGTATTGTCTGGACCAGACAAGGCATTTAAGTATATACTGGGAAAGTTGTGTGGTGATTGGGGATGGATTAGAGAACCCTGCAACTTCCTCATGTGATCACATTATTCACTTCCAACCCAAAACAGAAAAGCTGAATACTTAAGGGATAACCTTCTCTATATTAACTGGCTTCACCAGGCACTGACTTTTTTAAATTTGAAAGGGATATCAGTTATGTTGGGGAATGTTTCCACACCCGCATTTTATTTTATTATAATTTTTTTTAATTTTTATTACCAAAGGAGGAGTAATACCTTCAGCATTGAAATAAAATTTGCAGCTCAACAGTCAGAAACAAATAGCAATTTGAAGCTGATTTTGATCTTCCTCTGTGAAGGGCTGGTCCCATTCAAAATCTGTTTTTGTAAATGTTTGTCCCAGTTTGAGCCAGGATGAAGACAATTTTCTTTTTAATATTTTTTTTTCTTCAGTGAACTCTCTATTAAGCAGCACAAAAGTTTTCCAGCTAGTGGACCAATAACGCTTGGATGTTTCTAGTTAGCATGGAGAGACCAAGGACACTTTGCTCTACTTGCTGTATTTCCTACTTTGGACATTTCTGAAGCAGAAGACTCATATCTGCAACCCTCCTAGGAAGGAGGGGACTAGACAGACAGCAAAATTGGTGAACCAAAGCATTCCATTCCATATATCTATGTAGACCTTAGTATAAAGTCAGGGATCATGAAAGTCAAGCCTTTCTTCTTCCCTTCTCTTCCATTCATGGCTGATGTTCAGGGAGGACTTCATCTATTCATCCCCAGGCCTGTGCACTCCCGACCCTCACAACTCTCCCCTCAGCTCCTGTCTGCTCTGCTGCTGTCTCCAGCAGCTCTGGGACCTTTTGGGACTGCTCATAGCTCAGGAGATGCCGCCGTGGGAGTTGGTGAGGGGAGGCAATAGGGTTGTTGCACATTCCTGCACCTACTTGTATATATTTGTATGTATCTTTTATAATTAGTATTTCATTAGAGCTGTCTAGTTTGGTTTTCAAACCAGAAAGTCTCTCACCTTGTTCTCTCTATCCTGGTTTAAGCCAGAATAAAGCACATTTTCCTTTAACTGATTTCTTTTCCTTTAGAGAACTCTCTTTTAACTAGTAGCAAGTTTTCCAACTAGTGAACTGATAACGCTGAAATGTTTATGTTACTGCTGAGCCATCAAGAGCACTTTGCTCTAAAGCCTCAGATGCTAGAGAAGCAAACTCCCCCATAGGGAGGAGTGGACTTGATGGACAGCAAAATTGATTGAAGTATTCCATTCTATGTATCTATGTAAGATCAGTGTAAGGTCAGGGATCATGGAAGTCAAGCCCCTTCCTGCTTCTTCTTCCCTTCTGTTTCGTCCATGGTCGGCATCCAGGGAGGACTCTTGATCTCCAGGCCTGTGCGTTCCTGACCCTCACAACTCTCCCCTCAGCTCCTGGCTGCTCTGTCGCTCTCTCCAGCAGCTCCCGGACATTTCAGGACTGCTCACAGCTCAGGAGATGCCACAGGAGTTGCTGGGGGTGGGGGGAGGCAATAGGGGTTTTGTACATTCCTGAACATACCTGTATATAATTGTACATATTTTCTCTTGTCATTAGTTTTTAATTAAAGGTGTTTTCAACCTAGAAGTCTCTCACTCTTTAATCTCTCTCCTTCCCTACCAGGGTGAGAGGGGGAGGGGATCGAAAGCATTGTTGTCACTGGTTTGATTGCAGATCCTGAGTCAAACCGTGACAATAATTTAATGGTGCCCAAAAGTGACACTGTATCTTAAGCCCAGGCTGTAACTTCTCACTAAGTGGTTAATGTTTAAAATTCCATCTCTGATGGAAGGAATCCCTCAGATAGCTAAGGGCAACGCTTCTGCTGAATATGTTGATGGGTTGGAAACAGAACTGACACTTTCTACAATGTTTCTGATGGGCCTTTTTCCCAACATGCAGTCATACATACTGTGTGCAGCCAGGCTAATTTTGCTCTGTGTAGCTGGTCTTGTTATTGTTTTATGGTTTAGTGACAGGACTATAGCCATAATCAACCGTGCAATAACCTTTCTAGTGATCATAGGTGTTTTGATACTGATCTGTATGGTGACACTGTATGTGTACAGTACAAATTCGCATGTGATTCCACGTGGTCAATGTTGGTAATGGCAGTAGCAGTTTTATCTCTCTATGTTCTCTCAGTCTGAATCTCCCAGCTCCTGATCTAAATAGCATTGTTTCAGTAGGGATGCTTCTGCTGAATGCTTATAATGTATTGTGGATGCATAAAAAAAGGTGTTTTCCACTCACTGGCCCTCCTCCACAGGCAAGGCTGTTGCCACTACTGCTACTTCTCCAAAGACCAAGGCCACCCCCACTCAGCCCAAACGAGCAAAACTTACAAGAGCAAATCAAAGAAACATTGAACAGTAGAAGATCCCGTTTTAAAAGCAATGTTAAAAGAACTAATCAAAGGAGACTAGGAAGAGTGATGGAGAAGATTCTTCTCAAAGAGATAAAGGAGCAGGCTCTTCTAAAGTACATAAAAAAGCAGGCCACTCTCAAGCAGGTGACAACGATCTTGTCCAACCTTTCTCTCTAAAGGAACCGCACCTCATCAGAAGGGACTTTACCTGCAATGAAAGTGTGAACTGCTTCTTTGTTGGCTGCACTGATGCTTTTATAGTGGGGCTGATACCTATGACATGGACAAAGAAAAGCCAAGCAGTTGGAATCCCTGGTCAGAGATGTTGGCATTGATAGAGCAATTGGTAGTAAGCCAGGAAGTACCACCCAATGGAGCCAACTTCTTTCAGCTGTAAGGGAGAGATACATGCCCATAAGGGTGACACCCACTTTGGTATTTTGTTTGTTTGGTTTTTTTTTTGTTTGTTTGTTTGGTGTTTTTTTTGTTTGTGTTTTTTTTCCTGTTTGTTTGTAAATTTTCCTAAATAAAAAACCATATTGCTATACCTCCTGTCTTCCTCTTTGAAGATGTCTCTGTTCTTAAGATCCTATTTCGAATAAACCATTCTGTCGACTGGACCCATCACACAGGGAGGTCTGTTGCCTCCCTGGGGCTCTGATTAGAGATGTTAAAAGGAAACTCCCTAATCTTGTAGAGTCCTCTGATTACTACCCGCTGCTGATTTTTCAGGTTGGCAGTGAAAAAATTATTACAAGAAATGTAAGGGCAATGAAGAGTGACTTCAGAGCCCTGGGACGGCTAGTTAGGGGGTCTGGAGCACAAGTAGTGTTTGCCTCCATTCCTCCTGCAAGAATGGGTGGGGAGGTAAATAGGAAGAGTTTACAGGTCAACGAATGGCTAAGAGACTGGTGCCAAAGACAGGGTTTTGGTTTTTTTGATCATGGGCTGATATATGAGACATCTGGCCTGATGGTGGCAGGTGGGATGCACCTGTCCCAGAGGGGGAAGAGGCTTTTGGGGCAGGACTTAGCAGGGCTCATCGAGAGAGCTTTAAACTAGATGTGAAGGGGGGAGGGGAGAAAACTGGCTCTGTTAGGGACAAGCCCAAGAGGAACAACAAGAGGAGCATACCATGGCCAAAAGTCAGGTCGTCTAAGGAGGATTTAGTCCCACCAGTCTGCTCTGTTTGCTTCCTGAAATGCCTGTATGCTAATGCATGCAGCATGGGGAATAAGCAGGAAGAGTTAGAGGTCAGTGTGCAGGCTAAGAGTTATGATCTGGTAGCAATAACAGAGACATGGTGGGACAGCTCACATGACTGGAATGTAGCCAAGCTGTTACCTGTCCTACCTTACTCCTAAACACTGAAACCCAGAAAGAAAAAACAAGGGACAAAAAAACCAAACCATTTTACACTCCTACAAAATTACACATATTTATATTTCAAAGAATCATTGCATTCTAATTATTCACAGTACTGCTATGACTTTTCACTCTACTTTGAATTTCTTCCCCTTAATAGCAAGTCTCCTTGCTTTCTCTTTTAATGTAGCAATACTACAGAATCTAAAAGAAGAAAGGTAAAGAAAGAGAGAAAGAAGGATAGACTGAGAGTGAAAAGCCTGACAACTGTGTAACAAACAAGAACATAGTAGAAAAAAAATGTATTGTACTGAAGCTGAAAATTCTTTTTGAAAAATGTCAGAAGACCAGGTAGATTATTAAGCAATACAGTAAGATAATTATTTGTTTGCCTTGTTTGTACAATATTAACTACCTAATTTGTAAGGCATGGTGATAGAATTTAAATGCTAATAAAATCTTAACTGAGCTGATGTAATCACAACAAAACAGATTTTATATGAGTACATATCCTGTGTGGAAGGAACAAAATACCCAGCAGGACCAGAACCCTGGACTTCCACAGGGCAAACTTTGGTCTCCTCAATCATCTATTAAGGGAAATCCCATGGGACAGGGTGCTAGAAAATAAAGGAGCTCAAGATAGCTGGTCAACATTCAAGGACCACTTCTTGCAAGCACAGGATCAGAGTGTCCCAATGGTTAGGAAATCTAGTAAGGGTGCTAGGAGACCTGCATGGTTAAAGAAGGAACTACTGGGCAAACTTAAGTGGAAAAGGAAAATCTATAGATCATGGAAGGAGGGGCTGGTCACTTGGGAGGAATATAGGACTGTTGTCAGAGGATGTAGGGAGGCAATTAGGAAAGCTAAGGCCTCCTTGGAACTTAACCTTGCAAGTCAGGTTAAGGATAATAGAAAGGGCTTTTTCAAGTACATAGCTAGCAAAACTAGCAATAGAGGCAATATTGGCCCATTGAGGAATGAGGTGGGAGCCCTGGTGACAGAGGATATAAAGAAGGCAGAGGTGCTGAATGCCTTCTTTGCCTCTGTCTTCACTCCTGCAGGGTCTCCCTATGAGCCCCAGATTCATATAGCCCCAGAAGAAGTCAAGATAGAGGAAGAGTTTGACATGGTAGATGAGGATTGGGTTAGGGATCAGTTGAGTAATCTGGACATCCATAAATCAATGGGTCCAGATGGAATGCACCCAAGGGTGCTGAGGGAGCTGGCGGAGGTCATTGCTAGGCCACTCTCCATCATCTTCAGTAAATCATGGGCAACAGGTGAGGTGCCTGAGGACTGGAGGATAGCAAATGTCACTCCAGTCTACAAGAAGGGCAAGAAGGAGGACCCGGGTAACTATAGACCGGTCAGCCTCACCTCCATCCCTGGAAAGGTGATGGAACAACTTGTTCTTGTGACTATCTCCAGGCACATCAAGGACATGGGGGTCATCAAGAGCAGTCAACATGGTTTTATCAAGGGTAAATCATGTTTGACTAACCTCATAGCCTTCTATGAGGAAATTACTAGGTGGATAGATGATGGTAGAGCGGTAGATGTGGTTTATCTTGATTTCAGTAAAGCATTTGACACCGTCTCCCACAGCATCCTTGTGGATAAGTTGATCAGGTATGGGTTTGGTGACCAGGAAGTGAGGTGGATTAGGAACTGGTTGAAAGGAAGGAGTCAGAGAGTTGTAGTCAATGGGGTAGAATCTGGTTGGAGGTGTGTTACTAGTGGAGTCCCACAAGGGTCGGTGCTGGGACCGGTGTTGTTCAACATCTTCATCAACGACCTGGATGAGGGTATAGAATGTACCCTCAGCAAGTTTGCTGATGACACTAAGCTGGGAGGAGTGGCTGACACACCAGAAGGCTGTGCTGCCATTCAGAGAGACTTAGATAGGTTGGAGAGTTGGGCGGGGAGAAACATGATGAAATTCAACAAGGGGAAGTGCAGAGTTTTACATTTGGGGAAGAACAACACCATGTCCCAGTACAGGTTGGGGGCTGAACTGCTGGAGAGTAGTGTAGGTGAAAGAGACCTGGGGGTCCTGGTAGACAGGAGGATGGCCATGAGCCAGCAATGTGCCCTTGTGGCCAAGAAGGCCAATGGCATCCTGGGGTGCATTAGAAAGGGGGTGGTTAGTAGGTCAGGAGAGTTCTCCTCCCCCTTTATTCTGCCTTGGTGAGGCTGCATCTGGAGTATTGTGTCCAGTTCTGGGCCCCTCAGTTCAAGAAGGACAGGGAACTGCTTGAGAGAGTCCAGTGCAGAGCTACAAAGATGATTAAGGGAGTGGAACATCTCCCTGATGAGGAAAGGCTGAGGGAGCTGGGTCTCTTTAGCTTGGAGAAAAGGAGACTGAGGGGTGACCTCATCAATGTTTACAAATATGTAAGGGGTGAGTGTCAGGGAGATGGAGTTAGGCTTTTCTCAGTGATGACCCATGATAGGACAAGGGGTAATGGGTGTAAATTGGAGCATAGGAGGTTCAAGGGGAATATCCGAAAAAAATTTTTTACTGTGAGAGTGACAGAGCACTGGAACAAGCTGCCCAGGGAGGTTGTGGAGTCTCCTCCACTGGAGACATTCAAAACCCACCTGGATGTGTTTCTGTGTGATGTACTCTAGGTGACCCTGCTCTGCCAAGGGGGTTTGGACTAGATAATCTTTCAAGGTCCCTTCCAACCCCTAGGATTCTATGATTCTATGATTATGGATCAGGCAAGCAGAAGTCCTATGCTACATCAGAAAAATCCATTTAACTTAATTTAGAGCACCAGATCAAGACTACTGAATTAGTAGTATTAGTACCTAGCTTTTAAAATAGGCTTAAAAATATCCTAGCTAAACAGACAGGAAATTGATTCACTCACAGCTATTATCAATGTGGTGTTGCAATGAGGCATGAATTGGCAGAATCTAGGAGACTAAGGCTGGAAAAAGATGGAAAGGGATATATCAGATTTCTCTGAATTTTTCCCTAAATGTCTCCAGTAGCCTCTATAACGACACAGGATGCTAGGTTAAACAGATCTTTGCTTTTTTAATTGTTTGGGAGTTCTAAAGAAAGGCAGTATGACATTAAAGAAATTCAGCTCTTAATCTGAACAGATTTTAAGCACACTATTAAAATGTAAAGTACTGAGATACTTGATAGCTAAATTTTTATTTATCATAAAATCTTCATGAACTCTCAGAAGCAAAGGAATTAAATGTAAAGGAATGAAATGTTTCATTTTGTAAGAAAGGATAGCTGTGCTCATGACAGCAGAACTGAGAGGTGGTTCTTCTGCCTTTCCTGTCCCTTTCCTCATATGCTTCTATTGCCTACTTTGTGCTGTCTTATCAGATCCTATGTGGATAAAATTCTCTCTATCTAAATAGTTTTTTCCTTGTTTAATTCAGTGTCAAGGGAGTTTAATGTCAAGAGAGAGTCCAGGGCATGTACAGAGAGAGGAGAGGCCACACAGCTGTGAGCAGGAACCATTATGGTAGCAGAAGTTTTTTTGGTCAGTTCTGCTGCTCATGAAATTGCAGCATACATAGTGTCCTCTTGCATGGAAAACACATTTCACTTCTTCCTATCACTTGAAAAACTCAGTATCAATGTCGCTTCATGCACACAGCCCACCTCTCAGATAACCTAGAGTTTTAGAAAGGTTCTCTTCCAAGAAAATACCCTGAAAACCATGTCCAGCTTGCACTAGCTTTTACTCCACATCCAGTTACAATGAACTAAGCAACAGCACACTATAAACTTCTGTGGTTTCAAAGAGAATACAATAAAAATACCCTTCTAAGGAAAATTCAATAGAAAATGAGATAACAAAAAATATCAATTATTAAATCGTAACAAGCCATTCTTCCATCAAATATTTTTAAAAGCATTAACATTGCTAGGCTAAAGTCTTCACCCTCGTGTTTACTCAAGTAAGCAAGAAACAACACCTTCCTTTAGAAGTAAATGAGAAGTAAAAATAGACTGCACGACTCTTAAATAGCATAAGTAGCATTGCCTTAGGAGAAAAAATCTTGTAAAAATATTGTTTCCTGTTACAGTGTTTACATTATTATTAGAACATACCTGTTACCTGTTTCTTCAATGTTTCAATTTCTTCTTTTAAACTTTTGATTTCTAAATCTTTGCTTGCTGTTATTGGGCCATCCATTGTTGAATACTGCAGAGCCTGGACTGTTTGGGTGGACTCTAGAAAAAGTTGGAAGAGAGAGGGACAAACTACACTCCTGACATCTGAGGAGGTAAAGAACATACTAGTGATAAATTAAGACCTGAAAAAAGATATTCCACTGAGGATTCTGCAATTTATAATTTCCAACCACTAAGTGCCAATTTTTCAGTAATTGTCAGCTGGACAAATTAAGTTCTTAGAGGTTTCAAGAATGAAATCTTTATGCCACAGTAACCAAGGCACAGTGCAAACAAAGTTACCATAAGAAGTTGCATACTCTGAATATTTCAAGTATAAAGAATAACAGAAGTTTAAATTTGTCAATGGAAATAATGAAGAGAATACTCTTCTACTAGAAAGCATTCCAAGAGGTGTATTTTTTTTTCCAAATTATAAACCATACCGTACAAAGCTGCAAGCTAACCCAAGTCAAAAAAAGTGATTGATTAATATTTTTTTTTTAATTAATATACCTTGCAGTTTTCTACTAAGTTCAAGCTTTTCCTGTTCTAGACGTCGTATTCTCCTCTCATAAGCCTCTGTTGCTAAACTGTCTTCTAAAGTTCTTTGAACGCTGGCATCAAGATCCATGGAGTGTGGTCCAGCTGTTAGTCTTAGACAGCTGCGGTCTGAAAGCACACTGGGGAAAAAAACAGGCTGTTTTAAAAAACTGTAAAACATAAATCAACAAATAAATATGATCAAGGACTTCCTTGTGACTGCTTAATTTAGCAGTAGACAAACATGACAAATAGCACAGTAATACCAAAAATCAATAAAAGTACAATTTCCATTTAGACTTACAGGAGTTTCAAAGGACTAGAAATATAACTGTTTTTAAAATCTAATAAGCTAAGTTCTCTCTGGGTCCACAAATCTGCTCTTAACTTTTGGCATATGCAGTTAATATTATACATTGTCTGAAAACCTTTTGGACCAAAACTCTGAGAACAGATGCTTATCTTTAAATTCACACCAATTTCATCTGCAGAGAATTAGTTCTTTTGGACAGACAGCATTTTAAGTTACAGTCTAGTAACTTCCTCAATAAACCACATTCTTTGGTATCTGTCTGCAGTTGTTTCAGAGACACAAGATATAATGTACCTATTCTACAGACATTTTTAACTTACCAGCTACTTGTATATGTGAAACCCACAAATGGTAGATGATGGCCAGAAAATGCAGTGTGTGACGGTGGAGGCATTGTTTCCTAGAAAGATAATAGGGCAGTTGAGTCAGTAACACCCTACTGGACTTAAAGGTATATATTTCTTTTGTATAATCATATGTGAAGTGTCTGTGATAATACAATATTAACTATATTCACATTCACATTAGCTACAGCCCAAATATGAAACGACATCACCTAAACCTATTTATAATAGCATGCAATGTACAAATATATGCTGGCACAAAAATGCTTTTCTCATTAAATAGGCTGCTGCTGGAGGAAATCAGAATATCACATATATGAAAAGCCAATTTTTAATATTTTTTTCCAAGAAGGCCTTAGTACAAGGAGTATTACTTTTTATTTCCTGCTATACTCCGCTCTGCTATTTAGTCAGTAGGGCTTCTTGCCTCTAGATTTACCAACCCCACTTCTGCATGGTTCACCCCATTTTTGGAGAAAACAACAGTCAGATATTTACTAGGAAAAAGCAATACAACAGAGTTTTCTAATCCCATCAGTGCTTTGACCATTTCTTCCTTCATTGCTCCTTTTTCCTGCCAAAGAACTACAAACCAAGACAAATCCTTGAACTTCTACTTAGGCTAAAATCACCCTGTTGCTACATTATTAAAAAAGTTATAAATTCTAGTATTCTTTAATATACTGTTAAAAATTCCCTGCTTAACCCCGAGACACAAGGTTCATACTGCTATACTAACAGTCATCAAGAGAAACTCCCTAAGAAGATTATTATATTGAAGTGCTAAACTGTTCTAAATTTTAAGAAAATATAACAACAATTTTTTTCAAACAATCAAACACAAAGAGGCAGTTGTGTATTTTTACATGAGAAAAAGCCTGTATTCAAAAGAAATCCAAAAGTACCTTTTTGGTAGTGACTTCGGCTATTTTGCATCACAATCTTGACCTTTTAGCAGACAAAAATATTCACATCGAAAAAGAGTTCCCAGAAGAAAAAGCAACACCAATGATGTGGCTAGAGTTTCTAAGTAGACCAAGTCTATACTGTTGGGCATTTTGGAAACCAAGGACAAGACCAAATGACAAAGCCTTAACTTTACACTAATTCATAATAAGAATATCAATCATTCACACAACAGTTAGGAAAAAAATGTTTACTTATCTTTTATATTTTGTTTTCATAAGTCACACATTTGAGTTTTAAAACTGTCTTTATGAATAACTTTTAAGAAGACAAAATGCACAATGGTGTGTAACAGCGCATATGACAGTTTTCATTTACAAAGCAGGTAACAATGTTGGCTCTAAAATATTGTACCTATTGATAACAATGTAAGATTCTGTAAAAGAATTTGCTTCTTTGCTGATTCTCTGGCAGAGATCAAAATACTTATTTCCTGCCACTTGTATTCCTATACTGACAAAATTATAACTATGTCTGTGATGCCTAACAACAAGGCTAAAGATAGAAACCTGGTGAACTTAGGCTGCCTAATAACACTGTTTTGCCCTTTGTGTTTATGTGCGCTTTTAACATCCTGTTTGAATTTCATTATTACACATAAAAAACTTCTCCATGGGACCACAGTCTCATTCCAAGCTCAGGCAGAACAATAACAATCATGGCTTTTCAACATTGCCTTCTTAAATCTCACAAATCAGGTCAAGGACAATAGAAAGGGCTTCTTCAAATACACTGCAGATAAAACTAACACTAGAGGCAATATAGGCCCACTGCTGAATGAGGTGGGTGCCCTGGAGACAGAGGATATAAAGAAGGCAAAGGTGCTGAACGCCTTCTTTGTCTCTGTCTTTACTCCTGCAGGATTTCCCCATGAGCCCCAGAAGAGGTCAAGATAAAGGAGGAGTTTGCCATGGTAGATGAGGATTGGGTTAGGGATCAGTTGAGTAATCTGGACATCCATAAATCGATGGGTCTAGATGGAACACACCCATGGGTGCTGAAGGAGCTGGCAGAGGTCATTGCTAGGCCACGCTCCATCATCTTCAGTAAGTCATGGGCAACAGGAGAGATGCCTGAGGACTGGAGGAAAGCAAATGTCATTCCAGTCTGCAAGAAGGACAAGAAGGAGGACTGGGGTAACTCTAGACCAGTCAGCCTCACCTCCATCCCTGGAAAGGTGATGGAACAACTTGTTCTTGGCACTATCTCTAGGCATATCAAGGGTGAGGAGGTCATCAAGAGCAGTCAACATGGTTTTACCAAGAGAAAGTCATCTTTGACCCACCTCATAATCTTCTATGAGGAAGTAACTAGATGGATAGATGATGGTAGAGTAGTAGATGTGGTTTGATTTCAGTAAAGCATTTGACACTGTCTCCCACAGCATCCTCGTAGACAAACTGAGGAAGTGTGGTCATGATGATCAGGTAGTGAGATGTATTGTGAACTGGTTGAAAGGAAGAAGTCAGAGAATTGTAGTCAATGGGACAAAATCTAGTTAGAGGTGTGTGACTAGTGGAGTCCCTCAGGGGTCAGTACTGGGACTGGTGTTGTTCAATATTTTCATCAATGACCTGGATGAGGGAACAGAGTGTGCCCTCAGCAAGTTTGCTGATGACACAAAGCTGGGAGGAGTGGCTGACACACCAGAAGGCTGTGCTGCCATTCAGTGAGACCTGGACAGGCTGGAGAGTTGGGTGGGGAGAAACATGATGAAATTCAACAAGGGAAGTGTAGAGTCTTGCATCTGGGGAGGAATAACCCCATGTACCAGTACAGGTTGGGGGCTGACCTGCTGGAGAGCAGTGCAGGAGAAAGGGACCTGGGGGCCTTGGTGGACAGAAGGATGACCATGAGCCAGCAGTGTGCCCTTGTGGCTAAGAAGGCCAATGGCATCCTGGGGTGCATTGGAAAGGGTGTAGTTAGTAGGTCAAGAGAGGTTCTCCTCCCCCTCTATTCTGCTTGGTGAGGCCACATCTTGAGTATTGTGTCCAGTTCTGGGCCCACCAGTTCAAGAAGGACAGGGAACTACTTGAAAGAGTCCAGTGCAGAGCCACAAAGATGATTAAGGGAGTGGAACATCTCCTTCATGAGGAAAGGCTGAGGGAGTTGGGTCTCTTTAGCTTGGAGAAAAGGAGACTGAGGGGTGACCTCATCAGTATTTACGAATATGTAAAGGGTGAGCGTCAGGACGATGGAGCCAGGCTTTTTTCAGTCATGACCAGTGATAGGACAAGGGGCAATGGATGCAAACTGGAGCATAGGAGGTTCCATGTGACTATCAGGAAGAACTTCTTTGCTGTGAGAATGACAGAGCACTGGAACAGGCTGCCCAGAGAGTTTGTGGAATTTCCTTTGCCAGAGACATTCAAAACCCACCTGGACAAGTTCCTGTGTGATGTGATCTAGGTGACCCTGCTCTGGCAGGGGGTTGGGCTAAATGATCTTTCGAGGTCCCTTCTAAACCCTAGGATTCTGTCATGATTCTCTAATTCTCTAATGCAGTTATGTGAACTTTCCTCACAAGATGTGTATGAAAGATGGCAGGGGAAGCACCTCGAAGTTACATGTAAGAATTTAAGGGAAAGCAATCTTAAATACAATGCCCACTAGTTGAAGCAAAAATGTAAAATATCCTCAGTCATGCATGGCTTTAGGCTAGGTTTTTTTTTCAGAGCTGCTAGATGTGAAAAGAAACTGTAAAAACATAATCTTCACGTTTCAAATGAGGAAAATGAAAACAAGGCTCCACCATCTTAAACAGCTCAGTGGCATTGCTTTTCACCCCCTTAATTTTAATGCAAATTAAGAATCAGACTGTTTTCACAGCTGCATCAAATAATTAATCACAGGAGCATTCTTCACCTGCATCTACACACTTTTTCACAATGGGAAAACATTCACAATTGGCAGGCACCTTTTGAGTGCCTCAGGTGGCAGATTAGGCACTAAAAAGGAAGACCTCTGGAGTGGCTAACATTAGAATGTATGAGTAACCTCCAAAAACTGTTTCAGCTTCACAAAGACTTGCTACACACCATTCATTCCTGCCACACAACCCTGATAGCTGTTCCTGGACAAAATAGCGTGCAAATTAAGTTGTAAAGAAAAGTAGGCAACACCAGATGCAAGCAAGGAAAAAAAGGAGGAAAAAAATTAATAAAATGAAAGTTATTCTATGCAGCTACAGTGATTTGCTTAATTTGCCTATATGAAAGGACTCTCAGATTTCATGCTCCACAGTGCATGTATCTACTACTGGATTTCATCTAGTCAAAGTTTTCCATGTTTTACCACACAGCTGGAGAAAAGAGAATGCAAACATGATCATCTTGCCACTATCAATTCATGCTGTCAGGAAGTGACACTGAGATACACAGACAGTTCAGAAAACAAAAGCAAAAGTTGTGAAAATGCTTCACCTCACATGTAATCAAACAGCAGGTTTCTGAATCTTTCAACAAGCATGAAAAACAAAAGTATTTCCAATGAGACAACACAAGGCATTGCTCTGATGCTAAGATGACAACATGTTGGAAGTTTCTCTTCAAAAGTATAGAAACACTAAGTTTGCTAAAAAACAGTAGTTTCAAAGCTTTTTAAGCAAAAGGCAAAATATTTTTTCTCACTAGGATTGCTACTGAAGAAATGTCTGTAATACTTTTCCAAAATTTCTCAAAACTCAAGTCAGAAAACAAGCTGGAAAAATTTTAGTGGGATTGAGCTGAATGGAATCTGACAGAGATATGAGGAATTAAAACAGAGCACTACAATAAAATGCTTTATGCAAACATTATGCATAAGTCTCAAAAATGCTGTGCTAGAAATACTGCATCTTACAGTCCATCTAGATACAATTATATTATTCTTTATAAGACATGGACACTAAGAACTTGTCACTGTAAATAACAGATGTATGTGTTAAATACATGTGAAGTTACAATGAATCTGCAAAATACAACTGCAGTAATCAGTTCTTACGCATATATGTTTGGAGGAACAACCTTCAAACTGTGCACGTATTCCACCCCAGTTCTTCAAAGCAGCACTTTGCTGCTTATGCAGAACGCAGTGAACACACTGAAATAAACTATCACTTATATATCTTTTTGTTGTAAAGTATCCCACAAAAGTATATTTGTCAAAATGTTAATTCTATACTTACAGAATTTTTTAAGCAATCATCATCCACATCAAAGTTTGATGTATCAGTGGGGCTGCTGACTTCTGGGATGTAAGGTGCCTCACAGTTTCTAATGTTATCCCAATCAATCCCAGCAAAAAAAGGATGGTTCTTAAAGTCTTCTATCCCATTTTGTCCAAGTCGATGCTCTCTGCTACAAATGAGCCTTCGGATGAGGTCCTTTGCACTTTCAGAGACATCTGTCACTTGAGTAGGAAACTGAAACCTCTCCTTAAAGATTAGAAAAAGAGAGAAGAGTTTATAAGAAAGAAAGAAAGATCACCCTTGTAAATTAAAATGATTATGTAAGAAAATAAATGTATAAATAGTCCAGCTCTTATATATATGCAGTAAGGTTTCTAGGAAAACTACTTCCCCAAAGGACAGACACTATTTAAAGTTTTTTGCCTCCTAGTTTTTCTTCTCTATTTAAATTTCTCTTAACACTGTTGAATTCTACAGCTACCTCCATATGGAAGAATATTTAAGAATCTTCTGCATAAGCCAGCCAATGAATCTCGCCAGAAGAAAGTAACACATAAGGAGTGATGTAATACAGCCAAGATTTAGTTCAATCTATGGAGTAACACCCATGTTTACAAATCCAGGTTTTTAGTTTTTAACTGCTTTATCCTAAAGCAAAGACATCTGCAATCCATAACTATACACTTAAAATATGGAAACATATTTTTTGTTCTATATATATGAACATTAAAGTAATTAGTACATTAAACCCCATTTAAAAATAAGCCTCCAAGTTACCCTATTGCTTATTTTAAATTAGCTTAGAGAGCGACAGAAAGAGAAAGTGCACTAACTTTGTGGTTCATTATTTTCCCATATGTCTCCACCAAGGACTCAGCATAAAAGGGCGTTTCTCCGTAGAGCATTTCATACATGCAAACACCGAGGGACCACCAGTCACACTCGGGCCCATACTTCCCTTTTCCATCTTCCATGGCCTGCAAGATTTCTGGAGAGATGTAGTCTGGTGTTCCAACTGCCACTGACGATTGGACCTGTAGAAGTTACATTTTCTGGACTAAAATAAACTTCCATCACTACATACGCTGCTGTTTGTGGCACTGTGCATGTATATACAAATTTAGCCTGGAGTTCCAGTTATAAAAGTAACAACACAATCAAAAAGGCTTCTAAATTCATAAAGAAATAAAAAAGCATCCAAGGAACTACATTAAAAGGTATCCCGAAAACATACTTCTGCTAAACTCAGAAATATTTAACAACAGAGAAAGAACAAAGCATCAATGCTTAGAGTTGTTATTAACTAGCTATAGATTAGGTAATCATATATATTCACTCAAATACTTTGTAACACTCTGGGACATGATTAACACACAGGAATTACATTCTAGGCACACCTAATATATACTGTGCAAGTTTAATATACTACTAAAATGTTATGATATGCTAAAAATAACTCATTCTTCTTGGACTAAAGCTTACATTTGCAATAAAGATTAGACTTCAGAGTTCAAAACTTAGAGATTCATATTTCCTCAACAAACCTACTCAGTACTGAGAGTGCAGCTTCTCTTTTTTTATTAATGAGTTGACTATATGCATCTAAAAAGCTTTTAATATACTGTAAATCCAAACAAAGTGCAGTCTGAGGTTAGTTACATACCAACACCATTACAATTCCATTTTGTTTGACATAAGGCACCTTTTCTCTTTATTAGTACATGCTTTAGCAGCCAGCAAAGGACTTAAAAGGTGTTTAGGAATGTAGAATTCTTTCTAATTTACCGTTCCATCTTCCATCAGTTTCAGACAAGAACCAAAATCTGCTAATCGAATATGTCCGTTCATATCCATCAAAATGTTGTCTGGTTTAATATCCCTGCAAATAAACACATTTCTGAATTACCAAAAAAATTGCATAACACAGTCCAAGCATTAACTGTACAACAACTTATCATTCAAACCCAGCAACAAATCAGTAGATGGAACACAACCACTCATCTTACGATTAAATTTGAATCAGGGACATTTTATAATGGGTGCTGTAGATCAAATCATATACTGCCTGCTCATTTTAGCAAGAATTTTGTGCTCAAACTCCTCTCATCTCTCACAGGGAGATAGAACAATCTTACTTGCTTTTAACTTTTGTACATAAACCTTTCAAATAATTTAAACAATTTGAGTGAACAGCTCTCAGGTGAAAGATGCATGCTTATACTGGAACAATCAATAATCTCTAAGTTTTACTATTGAACAATGATTAATGAAACCCTAAAATAATTAAACAATTATAAAATGTAGTGTCTTTCATTCACATTTTCCTCTTATGTGCCTCTCAGTTTACTATGTATATCTATCATACTTCTGCTGAAATGACCAACAAAGCCACGGTGCACACTGCTGCCGCTCTGCTTGGCCAAATTCTGCAGCTGTCTCATTCAGGTCATGATACACAAAGAAAAATCTTTCTCTGCAGGCAGCACAGTAAATAACCCTAATTTTGAAAATCTGAATATTTATTTTTTGCCTCATGTTTTACAGATACCTAAGTATACTGAAATAGAGATAGTGAATGTCATTAAAGTACAGTTATTAGAAATACCCATTAACCTACATCTTTTAAACATATGACATTTTACATTCTTACTCTAACCTTACCTTATATATTTAAAAGTTAAATTATGACTGTATGAATAAAGCACTACAAATACTTTCTCAGTGAATATTTATAAGCCAAAAGATAAAATCCCCTAAAAAAAAAACCAACAAAAAACAAGTGAAGCCCTGACTTTGCTTCATTCCCTGGACAACTTAAAAATTTATGTCATCTGTCAGTTTGCAGATAAATTTCAAAATACTCACAAGCTAAGATATTGATATTGCACTTGACAGCAAGGTTTTTTAAATTAAAAAACAACTTGCAAATGTTTACTGAGAATTTATAATGGCAAAAAAGAAAACACTGCTTAAGAAACCATACTTTTGCATCTTGCAAATAAGCTAAGGGCAACTCTTTACAAAGCAAATAATAAAAATTAACTAAGTTCATTCTCCAAATAACATTCTTCCACTTGATTTTTGATGACTCTGAATATGCCAAAGAATTGCAACTTCCAGATTGAGATAGTTTTATTTCTTTTACATTCACCCACCAAAAACATTCCTTAAACATGTTCCTAAATAAAAACAACCACATGCTATTAATAGTTGTGGAATTATAACTTCAGTTTAAAACACTTTGAGAAATCATGCCCCTTAACATCATGTTCCTCTTAGAAGCTGGACCTAGTTTAAGCAAACAAAAACATGAGTCACCCCTGAGGCTCTATTATCCATGTTCTATATTTTAATATATTCCCAAGAGAAATAATAACAATAATCATCCCACCCTCCCCCATTCGATCTCACAAAGCAGCAGCAAACATGAAAAATCTCAGTCTGTTGTCAACACTGCAAAAACAAACCTGTGAACAACACTGAAAGCACTCAGAGGAACAAGTATTTCTTGCAAAGTGAAGTTTCTAAGGCTCAGTAATAACCTCACAAGAACAATTTTTATAGCTAAGAAAAAAAAGAGACCAACTTGATGCATGTAAATTCTTTTCAGCCCTTGCAACAAAAGGTACAGGTTATGAACATCTCCTCTGGATTCAACTGAACTGCATTAACAAAATAGTTTACAGTTTAAAAGACAAAAATTGCTGGCATCTGCAGAGCAGAGTAGCCTACAGGCAAAGGGGAAGTTCAGAAAATGATGAGCCCCAGAAGGGAACAAGGAAAGGGAGCAATTACTGCCTGCATAACTAAAGAGTTCAAAGATGGTGATTATGGGGGAAAACGATATATCAAACCCCATAACTCTACTGAGCCTGCAGTTGTTAGATTCCATTAAAATTATTAGGTTTGTTTCATGTGGGTTTTTTTGGATGACATTTGATGATGCTTCTTTAGTGATATGAACTGATTCTTCTCCTGTTCTAAACAGAGCATGGTCTTCCCTCTTCACACTCCACATTCCCTGTGTTATCCCAGTTTCTTCACTGCATAAACTTGTTTCCTCTTCCCATGCTTCCATCTCAGTGGTAGCTTTATTTCTATCATCCCTTGCCTCCAAGACTCACCTCAAAATTTGAGACGTCCAATGCTCCACGGCCTATCAAACCTAAATCTCCTTCCTTTACTTCCTTCTTTCACTCTCAGTTTCTTCACTCCTGAGCCCTTGCCTCCAGGCATGTGCCCATTTAACTATTTTTTATTTTTTTTTCTCCCATCTCAGTTCTCAGCAGCCAGTATTTCCCCAAAGACACTTCCCAGATTTCCTTCTCATTCTCACTGGCTTCCTTTTCCTCTAATCCTTGCTATCCTCTTTCATCAAGTCCACTTTTTGTCTGTTGCACGGGAATCATCTTTGGCACGAGAAGGCGGAGAGTACAATTAAAAACAAGGAGTCTCTACACTCTCTATTTACCTACATCTCCCAAAACTGCAGGGCTATTGCTGTCATTTTTACAGCTCTGAAACAGCAGAAGAAAACTGAAAAGCATTAGGGACCAAACTGCATATGTTGCTTGAAACTCCTAACAACTGGCATACTCTGGGGAAGATTATAACCTGAAAATATTTAGGTGGGGGACAAAAGAATTAAAATATGTCCATGACTAAAGGAAGATTCTCTCCTGGATTTCAACTGTGGCTCCATAGCCCAGAGTAGAAGAATTTCTCATGGGGCTTGCAAGAATTATTTTATTAATTTAAATCTACATGCAATGCATGTTTATTGATCTTGTTCCTGGAGAGAGATGACACTAAAGAAGGAAAATTCCAGAACAAGTAGCTAAAATCTGGCAAAAGTAATGAGCAAATAATGAAGAGTTATATGGTTGAGTGAATAGATCACTGGGCTGAATCTCTGTAGATAAGAGTTGCTGGGTGATTGGCAAAGAGTTACTGGCCAAACAATTTCAGCATCACTCAATGTTAACCCTGGAGCTCAGTCAGGCAATAAATATCTCCCTGGAAGGCTATGGACCACTAATAATTGAATAACCTTGTGATTAGTTCACCATAATAGAAGAAAAATGTCTGGTGACTTGAAATATGAAATAATAATTCCGTGTCAAGAATAACAAGCATTTGGAAGCCATTTTATGAACTAGATTTATAGTGGGAACAAGTACTGAATTGGGGGAATTACTCTGACATCACTGTGTCCTCTGGAGTCCCTCAGTTCTACCAAGTCACAGGCAGTTCAGCTTTACTCTTGAGAGCAGCTTCTGTGAGAAGTCCAATGTGCAATGGCTACAGAATGCCAGACTTCAAGCTGGTACAAGCTCTTCAAGCATATCCCACAGTGAATTAAGGGTACCTGTGTAACCAGCATCCAATGAAATAAAAAACTTGTGGCATTGCCACCTGAGGATGTGAACAGGGCAAGGACTGCTGTTCTGCTTTCTTAAATTTTTTTTCTTTTTCTTTTTTTTAAGAGTAATGTAACAGCATCAAAGGAGCTAGAAGTATAGACCAATTAACCTTTTTTTAAAACATGTATGTTCATTTCAACCATGACTGCAACACAGAGCATAGGAGTGCCTTCTGTTTTCCTGAGCTGCATTGGCCTTGACTGTAGGAGAAAAACTGAATTGCACAGCAGCTTGGATAAAGTGATGTTCTTTGTTTTGTAGACTTTTGATACTTGTTTCTGTACACCTGTCCTGGTTTGAGCCAGGATGAAGCCAATTTTTCTTTTTACTGATTTTTTTTTCCTTCAGTAAGATTTCCTTCAGTAACTAGCAACAGTGTGTTCTGCTAGGCTGATAAGACAGTGGAATGTTTTTCTAACTACTGAGACCTCAAGGTTGCACCTTCACTCTGCCGGCTCAGACACTATGGGGAGATCTGTGACCCCCCCCGTAGGAGGCTGAGTTAGACAGACAGCAAAATTGGCCAAAGATATTCCATTCCATATATCTACGTAAGCTCAGAGTAAGGTCAGAGATCACAGAAGACAACTTCCTTCCTTCTTCTTCTTCCCTTCTCTTCCGTCCATGGCCGGCGTCCAGGGAGGACTCTGTTCATCCATCACTGTCGATCCTCAGGCTTGAGATCTCCTGACCCCCATAACTCTCTGCTCTTCTCCAGCAGCAGCTCCAGGATTCCTTGGGGCTCTTCCCAGTTCAGGGAAGTGCTGTGGGAGTTGCTGGGGTGGGGGGAGGCGAGAGGCTTTTGCCCATACCTGAATATATCTGTATATAATTGTATATATTTTCTTGTATCATTCATTAGTGTTTTAATTAAAGCTGTGTAGTTTAGTTTTCAATCCAGCCAAGTCTCTCTCTTTTTCTCTCTCTCCTTCCCTACCTGGGTTGGGGGGGGGGGGGGGGTTCGAGGGCATGGTTTCCG